GTCACGCAGGGTGCCATGACAACAGAGGCGCCCGGCAGCCAACACAGCTCACAAATTTAAACGATTCGCTGGTGGTCCACTGGTGCGCACCAGCAGTAGGTGCAGTCAGATTATATCCTCTCCCTCGTGGTTCCGGCGATCAGTTAGTGAGTCAGAGCACAGGCTCAGAGATTCTCAGCCTGCGCTCTGACAACATTGAAAGTCAGAGCCATGAAGGAGCAGGTATGGCAAAGAGCTACTGATAAGCATAACATCAATATCCGTTATAAAACCAGGAAAAGGTGGGTGGAGAGAGTGAGTAGAACACATGGGGGGAGGTGAGGAGAACACATGTGGGGGAGTGAGAAGAACACAGGGAGGGAGGGGGCTGAAAAGAACACTGGAGGTTTGGGGGGGGGAGATGAGAAGAGCACAGGGAGGGTGGGTGGGTGTGAGAAGTGACTGCTATGGTGGTATGGTGGGTGCAATGGGCCACTTGACTGGTTTTGCCCCCCAGGCCTAAGGCTGCCAGCCCTCCCCTGACTGGGAGCAACTTGAGGACGAGGGATATGGCATTTTCCTAGTCAGGCTGCTTCTGTGGCCCTTGAGATAGGCCAAATATCATTGCCTATGGGGGCCTAGTGCTGGTAAACTTTAAAGAATGAGGAGCCAATAATAAAATCAAGCAGATATTATTAGGATTCCCATTGATTAGGTGCGCCCACACATTAAGGAGTTGTCAGAAGTATCTTAGCATAAAACCAAACCTTAATTCTGCCACTAAAAGTAATTAAGTTGAATGAGTATTAACTAGTAGATTGGAGGTTAGGACAAACCCCTGCTTTAGCTTAATGAAGCAGTTTTAGTGTATAGATCTCAGGTTTCACTGCTCAATTCACTGCCATTTAGAAGTTAAATCACTTTGTTTCTGTTTATGTAGCCATTGTCACACCTCCCCTGGCTCTGACTGACACAGTTCTTGCAGGTTCTAGCAAGCTATTAACAGAGCAGAGGATAAGAAAATCTAAATTAAACAGAACTTGCAATAATGTAGCCCCATGTAGCCAGAGCGCAGCTTAGCGGAAAAGGGCCTTGACAGGGGTTAGGAGGCGGGCATAGGAGGGACCAAGCAGGACTGTGGGATTATGGGATGGGGGCTGGCTATTTATTAGGCAGCCATTTTAAAAAATGTGCACATTAATTTCTACCTAGCTGTGTTTGTGTTGCCTCTTGGTTCACTGACCTGCTAGGTAGGCTTTTCTTTTTTGTCTCCTCTGCAGGGCCATGGAAGAGGTGGAGCGGCTCCTGGATGGGATCCGGACGGCGGCGCGGCAACAGGGCCCAGGCTGGGCGAAGATGCATCTGGGCCCCCTGTTAGCAGCGGCAGATGGCGGCGGCGGTCGCCCGGCGCGGGCCAGGAGGCCACCACGGCGATTGAGCCCGGGCGCGGGGCCCGTGACTCCTTCCCTTGGCGGTCCAGCGGCTGGGGAGGAAGGCCGCCGCAGGCCTGGAGGACGCGTGGTCGAGGCATCGCCTCCCGGCGGCCGGCCAGGGCCTCGGCATGCGGGCTCCCGGCGGGCTGCGGCCCTGGCATCAGACGGCGCGCCCCCTGGACTGGTTGGGGCGGCGCCGGGCCCGGCGGACGCACCGGCGATGCGGCGGCCCTGCCGGGAGGCGAGCAGGCAGGCCAGGCGAGTTGTCCAGGCGGTCGGAGCGGCGGACGGTGGAGAGCGGGCCAGGAAGGCGCGGACCAGGCCCAGGACGGAGCAGGCAAGTGCAGGGGGCCCCCTTGGGGGTCCCCTTGGCGTGGGGCCCAACCTGGGGGTGCAGCCTGGGGGTAGTGTGCCTGGGGCTAAAGGGGGGGGGAGTGGGGCTCAGGTGGCTGGGGGGGGACCTTCTGGGGGGACCCAGGGTAGCTCTCAGGGCCCTAGTGAGGGGGGGAGTGGGGGGGGCTCTGTGGTAGGGCTGATGGGGGCACCGGGGGGGTCCCTGGGGGTGCCTGGGGGGTCAGCGGGTCGGGTGAGGGAGGTAGGGGCGGTAGTTGGAAAGGGGGGGGTTGGTAAGAGGGCGGTGAAGCGTAGGGGGCGGGGGGTGTCAGGGGGCCACTTCCAGAGGCGGGGAGGCGCTGGGGCTGGGGGGGGCTATGCGGGTCCAGAGGCCGGGTCTAGTGGGTCGGAAGGGGGGGGGTCTGGTGACAGCTCCGGGTCGGACTCTAGCAGCGTTGGTTCTTCACCTGTGAGGGACGTGAGGTCCCTCAGGGCGCGGGAAAAAAGGGGGGCCCGGTGCAGGCGTTTTCCCTCGGGAAGTTCGGTAGAGGCCAGGTCAGGGTCATTAGGGCGGGGGCGGCAGGAGAGGGCGGCGAGGGCTGAGGGTAGGAGTCGGAGTCCCCGGGGCGGGGGGGAACGCGCTCACGGGGGGCAGCGGGAGAGTGGTGCACGGCGGGAGGCCTTGGTAGCAGGCAGGCGCTCCCTGGGTCGGGACGGGAGGGGAGCCGGAGAGCACTACCCCCTGCCCAGGATGTCTTCTCCTCATTTCAGGTCTCCGAGCCGTTCGTCTTCCACGTTATCGAGGCACCAGGTGGGCTCCCTGGTTGGCGGGACGTCGGCGGATGTTGCGCATCCGGGTCACGCAGCGGTTGACAATGCAGCCCCGGGTACGGACGGATCGAGGGGCTTGGCCGGTGAGTCCAGAGGCCCCCTTGGGTCCAATACACTAGTTCAAACACTTCAGTCACTGCTCCACTCATTGGGGGCGGGGGGTGGCACTTCGGGCGATGTAGGTCAGGTTTGGACGCGAGGGTCCGGCGAGGTGGGGCGTGCTAGCGGGACTCCCGTGGTAGCCGCGCCCAGTGGGGAGGCGGGTGTAGAGTCCAGCCCGGGGGAGGTGGGGTGCGAACGGGCGGAATTGTCGGGAGGAGTGTCGGACGCGGCCAGGCAGCATGCTTACGTGTCATTTGCGGGCCCGCTGGGGGTGCACCTCAAGCAGGAGGCGAAAGAAAAAATTTGGAAGGGGGAGTTCTGTGAGATATTCTCCCTTCTTCCTCTGGAGGACTTCATTGACCTCAAGGAGGAGGATAAGAAGGACGAAAAGAAGGAGGAGGAGGAAAAACGGAAGCGGTATCGAAAGATACCGAAGTCCTTCGGGAACTGGCTGAGGGCCTTCTGCGTCCTAGCCAGTGTGATAGGGGAGAAATCGCAGAGTTCTTGCTCTTCCCTATTCTGTTACTTAGATGGGATCTGGGAAGCGTATCGCACCTATGGCGGGCTGGCCTGGTGGCGGTACGACGAGCAGTTCCGGCAACGCTTGGCGGCCAATCCTGGGATGAGGTGGGACCAAATGGACCTGCCCCTGTGGATGAAGCTGATGATGGCGCAGAAGGCACAGCCCTTTCAGCACGCGGCTGGCGCAAAGGGACAGTCCGCCTCGTCAGCCGCCTTGCAGAAGGGCTTATGCTGGTCGTTCAACGAAGGTCAGTGCAAGTGGGGGGCGGCCTGCCGCTTCAAGCATGAATGCGCGGGCTGCGGTGGGACTCATGGGCTCCAGAGATGCTATAAGAAAGGTAAGTCGGGCGGAGCCGGAGCTCCTCCAGCGCCCGGGGGCAGTGGGACAGCTGCTGCCCCGGGGCCGAACCCCGGTGAGGCTCGACGCGATGGAACCCTGGCTAAGCCGCTACGGTAAGGCAGGGGACGCGGAACTGCTTAGGTCGGGGTTTGGACAGGGGTTTTTCATCCCCTTCCGAGTGAGGGAGGGTTCGTTGTGTACGCGTAATCTGAAATCGGTAAGGGAATTTCCGGATGTGGTCCGGGAGAAGCTTAGTAAGGAGGTGCGGTTGGGCAGGATGGCAGGTCCATTCTCAGCGCCGCCGATTGAGGGCCTTAGGGTGTCACCATTAGGGGTTGTTCCCAAGAAAGAGATCGGGAAGTTTCGGCTCATTCATCACCTGTCCTATCCTAGGGGAGCGTCGGTGAATGACGATATCGATGGGGAATTGTGCTCGGTCTCTTATGCATCATTCGACCAGGCGGTCGAGCTGGTTAAGAGGGCCGGGCGTGGGGCTTTACTGGCCAAGGTGGATATTGAAGCTGCTTTTCGGCTGCTTCCGGTTCATCCGGCTTGTCACCACCTGCTGGGGTGCTTCTTCGAGGGGGGCTTCTTCGTCGACTTATGTCTCCCGATGGGCTGCTCCATTTCGTGCTCCTATTTTGAGAAGTTCAGTACCTTTCTCGAATGGGTGGTGCGGATGGAGTCGGGGAACGACGCAGTGGTACATTATTTAGATGACTTTCTCTGCGTAGGGCCGGCGGGTTCTCCCGCCTGCCGGCACCTGTTGCGGACAGTGGAGTGGGTGGCAGGCCACTTTGGGGTGCCGTTGGCGGCGGACAAGACTGAGGGCCCGACCGTGTGTCTCAGCTTTCTGGGTTTAGAAATAGATTCGGTGCGTGGGGAATGTCGGCTGCCTCTGACTAAGTTGTGCGGACTGCGCAGTGCGGTGGCCGCGGTGCAGCAGGCGCGTAAGGTGACCCTGCGGCAGCTACAATCGTTGATCGGGATGCTCAACTTTGCCTGCAGGGTGATACCCATGGGTAGGGTGTTTAGCCGCAGCCTGTCGGCAGCCACGGCGGGGGTCGGTTCTCCACACCATTTCGTTCGGGTCTCTTCCTCAATGAGGGCTGACCTGGACGTCTGGAAGGTATTTTGCAAGACTTTAACGGGACGGTGTTCTTCCGTCAGGAGGGTGTGTCTACGGCCGAATTGGAGCTGTTCACCGACGCATCGGGTAGCGTGGGTTTCGGGGCCTACTTCAGGGGGAGATGGTGTGCTCAGAAGTGGCCGGAGGCATGGGGACGAAGCCCCCTCATACGGAACTTGGCTTTTCTGGAGCTGTTCCCGTTGGTAGTGGCATTGGCCCTGTGGGGGGATTGTCTCCGGGACCGCAAAGTAGTCTTCTTCTCTGACAATATGTCGGTGGTGCATGCCGTCAATAACCAGTCGGCAGCATCCACACCGGTGGTGACGCTATTGCGACGTTTTGTTTTGCTTTGCATGTCCCTTAATGTAGTTTTTCGTGCGCGTCACGTGCCCGGGTATTTGAACGAGGTGGCTGATGCTCTGTCTCGTTTTCAGTGGTCCCGGTTTCGGTTGGCGGCTCCGGAGGCTCAGGAGACCGGGCAGGCGTGCCCGGACGAGATGTGGCAGCTCGGAGCATCATGCTTGGGGGACTTGTGAGGGCTTCGCTGGCACCTGCCACATGGACCGCATACAGTAAGGTTTGGGGTGCCTGGGAACGTTCCTGGGAGGGGCTGGGCCAGGGGCCACAGGTGGAATCGTCGCAGTACGCCTTCCTGTGGTTCACTTTCCAATTGCTGGCAAAAGGTGTGTCCCCAGCAATGGTTGATAGGACCATGGCGGCGATGGCCTTTTGGTTCAAATTCCACGGGTGGGAGGACCTCACGAAAGCGTTCGTCATTAGGCAGGCTCTCAAGGGGTATCGGAGGGGCCGGAGGGTACCGGATGCCAGGCGTCCGGTCTCGGTTCGGGTGCTTGGGAATTTACTCCACGTGCTTCCCGGAATCTGCTTTGACGGGTTTGAGGTAGCCCTGTTCAGGACAGCCTTTCTCTTGGCCTTCTTTGGGGCATTCCGGATAGGGGAATTGGTGAGCGCCACGCGGTCGGGGTCGGGGGGTCTGCAGTTATCCGGTGTTCGCATGATCGCTGGGAACCTGGTGGTATACCTGGCTACATCCAAAACGGACGTCATGGGAAAAGGCTGGGATGTGACGCTGGGTCCCCTGCCTGGGTCATCACTGTGCCCGGTTGCGGCTGTAGCTCGGTTCTTGGAACTGAGACCGGCAGTCGGGGGGTCTTTATTGGTTCATGCCGATGGCTCCTCGCTCTCCCGTTTCCAATTTACTAAGGTGTTCCGATTGGGTCTGGGGGCGTTGGGGTTGAGTGCTGCTGCCTACGGGACGCATTCCTTTCGCATAGGGGCGGCCACTGAGGCCGCGCGTCTGGGCATGGGGGACGAGTTAGTCAAAAGGATTGGGAGATGGGAATCCGCTCGGTTCC